TAGCTGCAACAATGGCATTGGTTTCATCGCCAATAGCCTCAAAACTAATAGTAAGCTCTAGAGTCATATTTTTTTATAGGTTACGACCTCGGTTCCAACTATAACTCGCTAGAGTCACGGTCTCTATTTTAACCTCTATAGGATCCTAGAATCTTGTCTCTAAAAAGTTGAAGGGAAGTCCACCACTTGAACTTTGGGATCTAGAACCAACCATAAAAAGGCAAGAGGAGTATTTATGAAAAGGTTCAACAAAAATAGCTTCAAACATGCTATGATTGGCATATCCAAGAAGCAAAGGTGCGAGCATAATAAACTTCACATGATGAAGCATAGCGGTATCCATAAGAAGGTATCTTATACTTACAAAGCTACTTTTATAGCATACAATATACTTACGAAGCCATAGTAGATAGAAGATATCTTTATAGCTTTGATATATTTTGAAACTAACAAAGCTAGAGCATAGGCGAGTAGGATCTAACATCCATCATCACATGTAGAAAATTAACCTTGTACTTAACATCTAATTCAACCAATGCCATGGTATTTTAGAGATCTACCCACAGTAGAGGAGCAACCACTTAAGGACACTTACACCTTCTAGAGTGATGCCTATGGGACCTCTCTTTATGTAGATGTAATTATTCCTAGACACTCGGGACGGCCCCGAGAACGAGTGCGATTGGGGTAAAGGGTTTGGTTTATGGTCGGGTCAAATACCTTAAAGCTCCTCATACTTTGCCATTTCTTTTAAATGGTGGAATGACTCACGAAATCAAAATAAAGGGCAATAATATCGGGTTAATGTTTTAGCCATGTTTTAGTATGACATTTGGTATAACTTTTAAAGTTATTTCACTTTATCTCTTTCGTAGTATCGGGGTGACAACATGGAAATATGGCCACTTTCATCAAGAATCAAACGTCTTAAGAGTTATTGCACTCTTCAAACTTCATCTTTGGATCCATAACCCAAAATAAGAAAGGTCCTAGAGCATGGGGTTGAGCACTAGCTTAGAAGTTAGCAAAAGCATTACAAACCCCAATAAGAATGGATAACAAAAATGGAATTGATTAGAGATAAGTGATTAGAAAGAGTCTATTTACATATAAATCCCATATAGATTGAAGGAAAGAGACTTTCAATATTTGGAAGGAGATTTAAGACTAGAAGCCATAGGAATCGAATGATTGAAAGAATGAAGGATTTTTTTTTTTTTAAGGACGAAGCAAAAATCAATCAAAAGCACAAAGGGTACGAGAAGATTAGAAATCATAGAATCATAAAGAAAACCACCAAAGAGTTTGAATTAGGAATTGATTCAATAGTGTTAGGGTAATCAAAATTCCTTCATATTTATGCATAATAATTAAAGAGACATGGATTCAAGGAGCCATTGTACGGTGAAGAGACATATTAAACCATTACGAGTAAAAAGACATACTAGTTCTAGATGTCCATTATAGCATTGGGAATTGGAGGGGAAGAAAAATGAGTACCAAATTAATTATTTCTTTTTGCACATGAAAATTGATTTCACATGTAAAAAGAAGAAGGGCAAATGTTATACCCAAAATTGAATACGGCCACCTAGCCTAACGGGTTAGTAAAGGCCTATTGAGGCTTTAATTATAAAGCTCATATTAATGACCCTTAGAAGCCATTAATACGCCTATAGCCGAGTCTACAAGAGAAATTCCGAGATAAGCTCATGCAAGGAAAAGGCCTAAAAGAGTTTACACTTAAAAGATAAAGATACCTAATTCGATTCTTAACGGAATTGAATTATGGATAAAAGATGTGGGAAGCCAAGTTGTATTTGTAAAGAGAGGCTAATTGAATTGATTGACTAGAGCTAAACATAAAAGGGACGAGATTATAAGTGGGAATATCAAAGAACGTGAGGCATTGCAACCCACGACAAACATGGAGCATTGCAACCCAAGGAAGGAAGTTGTACGAGTTTAGGAATGTAGCCAATAAAAAAGAATATAGAAGTATGAAAGAGTTATAAATATCAAATAGAGGCAAAACACAATAGACACACAATCAACAACAACAAATACATTACAACTCATGCAAATTATCGACTTTATCATTTAATTCCAATACTCTAAAACATAATAGACCATAGTTTATAAGTTGTAATCAAGTAGGCTAATCGATCATCTCCGGTTTGATTGCTACTTTAATTACAATATATATAGATCTCATCTCTCAATGTTTGGAGTTTCAATTGATATTTGTTCGATAGTTTCAACATCCGTAAGTCTTTCTATTTTCAATGTCTTTGTCATTTGTAAAAACTTTTGATTCGAGTATTTAAAGATTCTAGTTTTCATTCCACTTTGCAATCCATAATTTACATACTTATTGTTGAATTTATAATTAAGTATTGTGAGAAATAGAAATTAGTCTATGTTTTGAGATATTAAAACTATTAACTTTAGAATTGAAAAGGGGGGAAAAGATTTTTAAAAAAAGAAAGAAAAAGGCCAACTCGTGCCACGTAGACACACACTAATTATCCAATCTAAATCAAAGTTTTTTATTATTATTATTATTTAGTTCGTAACGATGGATTTTATTTTAAGAAAAATCGTGCTAAAATGGTCATTAATGGTTTTGATCACCTTTATGGGGTTGCAATCCCAATCGATGACTTTACTCACCCGACACATTTCACTTTATCTTAATATTGGAGGCTCCACACCAAACCTTCTCCTCCTAATTTTTTATTATTAATAATAATAGTAGTAGTAAGTTAATTATGGTAACTTATTATTTCTTAAAAAAATTATAGTAACTTAAAAACCTAATCTTTATTGAATTTTAATTCATTTAAAATCGGTTCTTAGACTTTTAATTTTAGATTTGACTTCTTTTAAATTTTATTTCTTTTTTGAGATTTGCTTCATCATATGATTTCCAATTGACATTTGAACTGAAGGTTTGCACCCATGCACCCATGATTAGAAAAAAAAATCCCAATTTGTTTTATGAAAAAATTCTCAAATTTTTCGAGGTATAAAAGTATATATTTTTTATTTTTTAATATTAAAAATTTTAAAAATTATAAAAATAGAAAATAATTCAAAATTATCTCCAATATTTTCAAGGGCTTTAGATAAATTTTACTAAACGATTTTCATTGTGAGTCATTTATATGACTATTATTTTTTTACGAAGCCTAAATGATGGACTAAATCTAATAATAATAATAATAATAATAAAGTTGAAGAGAGGTCAAACTCAAAATTTAAAATTCAGAAACTAATTTTCAAATGAATTAAAGTTCGAAGGTTTGAAGCATTTAACCTGACTTAGTTACTATTAAAATTAATTAATTGGCATGTTAGCAATAAAAAAAATCTACAGAATTTCTCACTTTAGCCATTTATTATTGAAAAGAAAATTTTTTTTCTAATTAAAGTTTCCTTGTCTTTCACAATTTTCTTTTCTTATTTTATTTTTTGGAAGAATGAAAAAAATCATGAAATTAACAAACCTGAGCCTTTTTTTTGCCTATCTACGTGGTGTTAGTGAACTAGTTATAGTTGTAAGAGGTAATTAGTTCAAATTCTTTCTTTAGAATATTTGAGTTTTTCTCCAAAAAAAAAAAAAAACTACTACAAGAAAATGTCTGAGTAAATCCTTATCTTTACAGTAATAGCCAAGTGACGGTCTAACTATTGATTGTGGACTAAATTCTATCCGAAGAATAATATATATATTAGATGCAAATTTCATGGCGTGTCCAAATTTTGATTAGTATCCGCTTAATTTCAAGGGATCTGGTAGTTATGTGCTCACTTTCATCTAAAAGCACATCCTATCTGGTCAATATAGTATTGTCTAATGTATAAGTTGATTTGATAATATGCTTTACCAGAAACAAATTTTCTATATATTTTTGTTTCCAATTATACGTTGTTATTTTGAGTGTGTGTATATATATATATGTATATATACGCAGTACATGCGTCTGCGTCACGGTGTGTAGCCGCGTCCAAAAAGAATAAAGGATTTTTTTTTTTTTTTCTGTACATTAGTTTAACTCTATAAAAGGCTACAATATTAAATCAAACATTACCATTCAACCCCATTTGGTTACTCTCTCGGCTGTCAGCGAATATAACCAGAAAAACAAGAGAGGGAATCTAACGGAAGAAAATAGCAATTGGGCTTTGATTCTCATATAACATTGAAAGAAGAATTGCAGAAAAATCTCAAAACTTTGTTGTCTAATTTTTGTGAGTCTCTTTACTTTTCCCTTTTTAATGTTTGCATAGATATATATATATATATATATATATATATGATAGCACCACTTGGCTAATTCTTTTCTTTTCTTTTCTTATGAATTTTTTCTTATATGGATAGTATTTTGTTGTAGATTGGCATGGATTTTTCTTGTCAGTAGATCTTTATTTCTTTTTTAGAGAGAAATTTTGTAAAGGAATTAGATTCTTGGTTTTTAACTGTTTCAATTTTTATTACCAGTCGGGTATGTGTGATTACGTCTTGAATCACTGTGGTGTTTTGAGCTGAGAGATCAGATTGGTTTCCTGCCATTTTTCATTTGTAGCTGCTTTCACTGTCTTATTCATCTCTGTAACTTCTAGATTTTTTTTATTGGTAAAATGTAAAGGAATTTAGTGTTTGTAGATTGAAAGTGTATATATATATATATATATATATATGTATGCATCATTCTGTGTTTGTTTGGTTTCACATAATTTAGTTCATTTCAAAATGTTGCAAGGATCTGTGTTTTTCTTTCCAAATCCTATTTATTTGCTTTATTTTGGCTAGGCTGTTCATTTCTTTGTTGCATGCCTTATTTTTCAACAGGTTTCATAGTTAATTGATTTCCTTTATCCTAACAGTGTTCAATGCCATGATTTTCCTTTACTGATCGATTGTTTTTTGCAATTTATTTATACAAGGGAGGCAGCTGACAAGTTTTTGGTTCTTTTATTCTTTTAACACCAGCAATATGTTGGAAGCTTCATCTTATCCTGTCCCAAGGGAATTACCAGCATCATGTGAGCAAGAAAGCAAGTGGATTTATAATGCTTGCCGTGCTGTTGAGCTTCCAAACAAGCGGCCATTAGAAGGCGGGGAAGACATTGCCACAAGAAAGGCAGTCAGGCTGCTGGAAGGCGGTGACAGACAGGAAAAGATGGAGGCTCTGCATGTTCATTCCATTGTGCATACAGATCAACCAGATAATCACCATCAAGCTGATTGTCTGTATGTTCTTTCAATTGCACAAACTAATCAACCAGATAACCACCATCAAGTGGAGAATCAACCAGATTCGAGTTCACTCATCAACCAAATTGGTCGAGACTTGTCAATAAGCTGTCTCCTCTGCTGTTCGAGGTCTGATTATGGTGCCATTGCTTCACTCAATAAAAGCTTCCAATCTCTAGTTCGGGGTGGTCAGCTGTATAAGCTGAGGCGGGAAGCAGGAATTGTTGAACATTGGGTGTATTTCTCTTGCAATCTCCTTGAATGGGAGGCCTATGATCCTATTCGCTGTCGATGGTTGCATTTGCCAAGAATGACGTCAAATGAATGTTTCAAGTGTTCGGACAAGGAATCGTTGGCCGTTGGTACAGAACTTCTAGTTTTTGGAAAGGAAATAACGTCCCATGTTATTTATAGATATAGCATTTTAACAAACACATGGACATCTGGCATGAAGATGAACACACCCAGGTGTTTGTTTGGATCTGCCAGTCTGGGGGAAATCGCGATACTTGCTGGTGGTTGTGATCCACGTGGCAATGTTTTGAGTTCAGCAGAGCTTTATAATTCGGAAACTGGCACGTGGGTTGCTATTCCAAACATGAATAAAGCTAGGAAAATGTGTTCTGGAGTATTTATGGATGGCAAGTTTTATGTTATTGGTGGAATTGGGCCAGGCAATTCAAAGATGCTGACATGTGGGGAGGCATATGATTTGAAAACCAGAACATGGCACGAGATACCTGATATGCTTCCTGCCCGAAATGGAGGGGCTGCGGTGACTGAAACCCCTGCTGCAGCTGAGGCACCTCCTTTAGTTGCAGTGGTAAACAATGAGCTCTATGCAGCTGATTATGCACAGAAGGAAGTGAGGAAATATGACAAACAAAAGAATGTGTGGATTACACTTGGGAGGTTACCTGAACAAGCAGCTTCGATGAATGGTTGGGGCCTGGCATTTAGGGCATGTGGAGATCGACTTATTGTTCTTGGTGGAGGGATGATTGAGCTTAACTCATGGGCTCCGGGTGATGGTCCCCCTCAGTGGGACCTGCTTGCAAGTAAGCCCTCGGGCAGCTTCGTGTATAATTGTGCTGTAATGGGATGCTGACGTGCGCATCTATATCACCGACAATGTGTAATGTATGGAAGTGCAAATTGCGCTGTGATGAGATGGGATGCTGACGTGCACTTATCTGTCACCAACAATGTGTAGCGTATCGATCTGCGCCGTTGGATCATGGCTTTGGAAAGAGATGGGAATCCAGACAGCTGGTAGTCGCCGTGTTCCTTTTTGGGATAAATTCAGGTTTTAATTTAGATTCATAGATACAGTTTTAGGAGGTGCTGGTAACTTTGCCTTCTGTTTTTAATTTGTTTCCTGGCTTTGTTTCATTTTCTTCCTTTTATAGTCTTGAGTGTCATTTGTATGTTTGGTTACCATAAAATCATTTCAAAGGTAGGCAAATCTAGAACTTGCACAGATGAATAAAATTACATTTTTAGTTTGTTGTAATGTGTCATGTTGTCAATAATACTCAATTCCTCAAACTTTCATCACTGGACAAGATAATGGTGATTCTCATGTCCTGGAGAGGGGTAATGTTGAATAAATCCTTTCGTCTTCCGAGCCAGAGCATGTGTTCTGGCTTGTTTATTTCTCTAGTACATAGTTCCAAATGAACTTTAATATATACACTGATGCATACATCCATATTTCTGAGCATCACCATCCGTATATAGTCACTGTTTTATTCCCCAGTTCAGTGCATTTATAATTGACTTAACTGGTGGTACTCTTGCCTATCTGATTAAATTGATGATGTGACTGAAATGTCAGTTTCCTTACCTTCTATTTTTGCTGAATCTTATGAAGTATTTTCTTTCTCTAAATCATAAACTAGATTACTAGACTGCTTTAATATTCAGCAGTATTGGTGTTGAGCTTCTGTCTACCCGAGTTGTTCTCCCCCTCAGTGGAGGTGCAGAGTTCCATCTCTGATCCTGCCTGGGCTGGCTTGGCTCACAGAGTTACATCTCTGATCATGCCTGAGCTGGCTCACGTTGTGGGATCCTAAGGACCCTTGCTCTAAATGTTAGAAGCCGGTGAGCTATGGTCATGTTTGCAACTCATACCAGTGTCCCTCCTCTCTAAAGAGGTTTTGAAGTTCATTAGAAGATAAACATAAGAAAAATGGAGAAGAAACTACTACCTGATTTAAGCTCCATAATTTCCCTTGATTATTTTGCAGGCGAAGCATTTATCAAGGTATTGATTACCGAATACTCCTACTGATTAGGTAAAATCTCTGCTTCCTTTTAATAGTTCATCGAGTTGCTACGCTAGAGAAATGTCAACTGATCAGATAACAGAAATTCAAGTTGTTTTAACGGATTGCAGTAAGAAGTGATAGCTGAGGATTTGATGGGAACAATAGTTTACATCATCATATTGTTACATTTCTTGTTGATATTTGATTTGATAGTATGGTTGCATCGTGTTTAAAAGCGTTTTTCAAAGTATTAAATTGGATGATTATGATACGAATCTGATGTTTTTTTTTTTTTTCCCGAATGATTGTTAGAAATATGAAGATGTCAATACCATTAAAAGGCATTCTAATTCTCAAAAAAACATTAATCTGATGTTTTTTTCAATTAAAAAGCACTTCTACAGTATCATGTGCATAGCATTAACAAATACATAGATTATAACATGATCCAAGGGATATAAGATTCTGGAAGATAGGGAATCTAGAACTGAAGAGTTGAAGTTTGAAGTAACGAAAGAATTGACGTGTGAATGAGTCGAACGCTACATTTGGTCAAAAGCAGAGGACAAGAGTTATAGATTTGAAACCTTCGCGTTGACTTTAATACAAAACTAACGCGGTCAAAAAACCAAAAAAGAAAAAGAAATCCGAAGTACAAAGTAGTTTTGTTGTGTTATTCACTGTTCTGAAACGTCATCATGGGTTTTGTTGTGTTATTCACTGTTCTGAAACGTCATCATGGGTACTTGAGTCATGACATCGGTTACTTGGCTTATGTGCATGGTGGGGATGGAGTTTAGTGAACATGAAGAGGACAAAATGCCAAAAAGGACTTTATGGTTGCTGGTGTTAATGATTTATTACAGTTGACTTGCTGTCTTTCCCTTCTCTTTGTTCCTCCCTGCCATTCTCTCGTAATTAAGAATTTGCATCCTCTGCTGTTGTTGAGACCATGGGACTATCATTTATCATGTTATAAAATTCCCGTATTTGGATTCAATCTATTTTTTACTTTTAGAAGGTTGGATTCGATACATTGATTCGATAGTCACTTGATTTGTGGTTTAGCAGTGGATAGGTATAATTTTCTTTTCTTTTTTCCTCATTTTTAGATTTAAAAATTGAAAACTTGTTTTTGGTTTTGATCTCTCAGTACCTGTTAAGCACTTTGCTTAACAAAGATGAACCGAAAGAAGAAGAAGGTTTGGGAGAAGGAAAAAGAGAAGAAAGCGCGAGAGAGAGAGAGAGAGAGAATCTTAGGAAAAATTTGTTCTGTTATGTTTATTGAATGCCCAAAAACTAGCCGTTACAAGCCTTATATTCATAACTAATTGCTAACCAAGATAACTAACTGCCAGGTCAGCACAAGTGGTTATAACCGTTGCCATCTCAGCTAATCAATTAACAAATGCGATGTCATTATATTTCCATTATTAAAGCTATTGTTTCTTAAGCCTTCCAGTGAAGCTTTTAACAAATTCCTAACAATGCCTCCCATTCAACCAGATCCTTATCCTCGAAGATCAAAACAAAAGTCTAGAAACTAATGCTCTAAGTCCTCTAACACCTCCCAAGTTGCATCATCCTCTGTCATGCCCGACCACTCTGGATTAGCCCCATAACCATGGCTTGGCTATTCCTCTTCATGATCTTTCGATCCAAAATAACAAGAGAGTAAAGTGAAACTCGCCCCTCACCATCCATAGGTGGTAGATCCGTAGAACCATAGCATTATTGCCAACCTTCTTCTTTAACAATGAGATATGGAAAACTCGGATGAACAAGAGCATTGATCGGTAATTCCGAGCTTGTAAGCAACTCGTCTAACCTTTTGCAAAATGGAGTAATGGTCGAAATAGCTAGGATTAAGTTTGAAATTTGTCCTTAATGCTACACCGACTTGTCTATAAGGTTAAAGCTTGAGATAGACTTTATCACCAACTTCAAAAACCCTTTCGAGTCCTCCTCATGTCGACTATTTGTTTCATCCGATGCTATGCTTTCCCCAATTGTGTCCTTAAAAACAGATCCATAGCTCTCATTTTTCATATTACATCCTTAACGACTATCGCGATATAAGTTCTATGTAAGTTGATTTCCATATAGGGAGGGGATAACCATTCAAAGCTCGTAATGGAGACATTCGAATAGCTAAATGATAGCTAGAATTATACCACTATTATGCCAAGTGCAAGCACTTGTATCACCTGCATGGGTAATCCATACACATTCATCGTAAATAAGTTTCCAAGCATTAATTTAGCCTTTCAGTTTAGCCATTAGTCCGAGGGTGGTAAGCTGAGCTCATACGAAGCTAGACCACTAAGGACTTGAACAATTCCCTCCAAAACACACTAGTGAAAACCCTATCCCTATCCGTAACAATAGAGGTCGGTAGTCCATGTAATTATAAATCTACTCCAAGAATGTCTTAACTACATTCTTGGCTATGAAAGGATGAGAATGTGTAAAGAAATGTCTATAATTTGTAAATCTGTCCATAAAACTAAAATAATATCTTTACCTTCGATTTGGGCGACCCTCTATGAAATCCATAAAGATATCCTTCCATACTTCTACTTGGAACCAGCAATGGTTACACCGACCCAAGGTCAGCTATTCTTTCGACTTAGACCTCATATAAGTACCACACTCGACCACTCTCTCCTTAACCATCATTTTCATAGCATGCCAATAGAATACATGCTTGAGTCTCTTATATGTATTTTGAACCCCTACATGTCCTCCAACGACGAGAATGATGAGCGGTTTGGACCAACTGTCCCCTCAACTCTTGTTCAGCCCTAATGTAGACCACTATGCTTGTACCTTAGTATGCCCTCATTATAAGAGAATTAAGAAAAAGCACTAGCTTAAAGCCACTTTAACCGTGATGACCTCCTATGCCTTAGCATCTTGTGCATATGACCCTATGATATCCCGAAGCCATGTAAGAACTAAAGTGGTGATGGAAAAAAGGTGTTCTCCTTGAAAACTCCTCTTAAGTCCAATGTCATGAACCCTTCGGGACGAGCATCGGCTATTGTGTTTTCCTTCCTCTTCAGTATCTTGGATCTTAAACCTCAATCTTAATAATTTGGTTAGCCACTTTCCTTTGAATGAGAGTGTGAATCTGTTGTTCCGGGAGGTATTTGAGACTTTTCATGGTCAATCTTGATGATGAACTTGTTTTCCTTTAAATAGTGTCTCCACTTGTCTATTGCCATAAGAATGGCCAAGTACTCTTGCTCATAAATTGACATTCGTTGATGTTTAGGGCACAAGGCCTTGCTAAAGAATGCTAGTGGTCTACCCTATTGAGATAGCACTATTCTCGGTCCATTGCCACAAGCATCGGTTTCTAAGACAAAGGGCTTGTGAAAATTTGGTAATGCCAACACCGGTGTGTATTACACAACCTTGTCTTCGACTCCTCAAAGGCTCTTTGAGCCTATTCGTTTCAATGAAAGTTGTTCTTCCTTAACAAATTAGTTAATGACTTACTAAATAAACCATAATTACGGATGAATTATTTATAATAGCCGGTTAACCCCAAAAACCTCTCAACTCCTTAAATGACTTTGGATTTGGCCATTTACTAATAGCCTCGATCTTTTTTGGGTCAATTGTAACCCCGACTCTTGAAATAATATGGCTCAAGTACTTTATTTAACTTTGACAGAATATGCATTTTGGACCTCCTTGCAACTAGCTAATTTCTTAGCAAAACCTCTAATACCCTAGCTAAATGCTGAACATGAGACTCTAATGTAGGGCTCTATATTAAGATGTCATCAAACAACACCAACATAAATTTCCTTAGGTAAGGTTCCAGATC